CAGTTTTCGGCCCAAAGGATACATTCGATCCACATTCTCATTGGCGACAAAAGTTGGCCAAATACTGCCCAACACCCAAACCCACTGAGCATACTTCGAAAAGTTGACAGGAAAGTTAGAGTGGAAACCAACAACTTCTTCAGGGAATATAGTGGCCATGTGTGATCCAATTATGTGGCCAACGTTCCCACCTTGAACATAATACCGTTTGTGACCAAGCCTTTGCATCAAATTCCTCATTATAATTGCTATTTGATGCGGAGACAAACCCGGACGGACTGGAGCCTGAAAATAAAGGTTCTTGTAAGATAATTGACCCGAAAACTTTGAGTTGTTCTTAGAAATATACAGAAATAAATTAAAAAGATGCTGGGAATAGGGTAGATGCCTAATTTTTATTTTAATGTCCGTCTGGTAGATTATTTTAAATCATTAGACACGTATTTTTTATTTTCTTACAGAAACGAAAACTTTTGACAATATATTGATTTGAAATGTCGCGTGACGTCACTTCTATGTACATTTTATACGTAGAAATTACGTTTTAGCCCCCACTCGTAAACTTTGATTCGTTTTATCTAAATATTGTTTTATTTTACGACAAAATAAAAAAATACGTGTCTAAAATTTTTTCATTATTTAACTTACGGACTAATTATATTTTTAATTTACATACCCTGTCATCATCCCAATTATCACGAAGAAAGGTATTTGGTTAATAAGTCAATGGGAATAAGGTTTAATGAGAATTGACGCTGTTATAATTAAACAAATAAATATAGTAGCTGTTAACGCGACTGTCAAGAAAGAATTCAATTTTAAATTCTTCAGAGCTCTGTAGTTTACTTACACATACCACGCCCATATAGATATAAGTAATCAATGTTTATGTGGGCATTTTGAGGAGCTATTGGAAAACTGATTGTACCGTGTTTTAATCCTGATTATTGTGGACAATGCAGGTATGATTGCGGTCATAATTATTATTGACTAGCCAACCCGGCAAACTTCGTAATGCCTACAATGTTTTTCTTCTTTTAAACCTTCCATGAACCTCCACGAACATTCTATGACCAAAATTAGCCATAAATATCGGTTCAGCAATTCCCGAGTTTTAGCGAGACTAACGAACCGAAATTCATTTTTATTTATATAGATAAGGAATAGATTCTCAGTAGATTTCTAGTGTATATCTGAACCCTTTGAGTATCGTCATTATAGACACAATTAAAGAACAATAGGTTGCGGTCACCGGTGTCCTCGCGGTGTTTGACAGTTTAAATACTTTAATTCTGCTAATAATTCGCTACATTAAATTAACTCGTCGAGTACCGGTTTTGTAGACACAATTATAGAACAATAGGTTGCGGTCACCGGTGACCGCTTGGTGTTTGACAGTTTAACTGACTTTAACATTAAATAAATTAACGGGCCTGCGGACGGTGAGCATGGGTAGCTCGCCACCCGACCTAACCAAGACCCGAGCATACGGCACCGAGGGCGGAACGCTCTCGGTGGCTACTGAGCCATCAGACCACCACGGATGGGACCCAATAGGGCTGATGCCGATACGGAGCCGCGGTAGACTGAACGGGTTGCCGGGGCTCCGGCTCGAAGGGCAGGAGTAGTAACGGGGTGGTTTTTAGTCAGTAAGAGTCTGACACTCCCACCGGCCTCACCCAGGCGGGTGGGATTCATTTCAAACATTCGATGATTTTCCCCCCATAAAAAAACATTAAACTTACCTGTGAAAACCCAAAGCCTGGTAAACTAGGAACGATGACCTCAAATACAAAGTTGTATCCCGGTCTCTCAGTAGTCAACAAGGGTATCGCTTCGTAGAACTCTCTGATCGACCCTGGCCATCCATGCAAGAGTAGGAGAGGCAGAACCTGGGAAAATAAAACAATATTCACTGACAATTGAACTGACAACTGAAATTGTGAACTATTCACAAATTGACTGCACAGTTGGTGCGGGCTGGGCAACGTGTCGTGAGCTCGATTCCTGCACGGACCAACTCTTTGTGTGATTCACATATTGTTGTTCCGGGCCTGGGTGTATGTGAACTTGTATGTTTGTTTATAAACGCACCCACGACATAGGAGAAAATCCCAGTGTGGGTGGGGCAACGTTTACTATAAAAAATAAATAATTATTATTATACTACAAGAGAGAGAGAGTGTATAATTTGGTCACGGCGCACTAAACTTCACGACTACTGCCAATCTGGCTGAACAGGGATATCTTCAAGGATATTACACAAACCACTGTTTTATATAATATCAACTGTATATTGTTGTTATCACTAATAATCTTTAATGAACTATTGAACTAACTAAACATAAAACATTCACCGAGGGTCATTAAACGGCGGAGAATCTTGACACCGCGATTCAGAAAATGGACTTAAACTAACAACGCCATCTAGTTTCAAAATTGGAACTAAACTCTAGAACTAATTTAAATTACGGTTGACGATTGAACAGAGAGAGAGAGAATAGTTCTCTAATTAGAGGAAGCGTCTTGTAGGTAAATTTCCATATTTTTTTGCGCTATCTAAAAATTAAACTCAAGACAATAAATGACATAACTAATGCCTGGAATACAATGTGATCAATCATTCAGCATAATCACGAGATCATTTCTTGGTTAAGTGCAAATTACTTTAACACACCAGTACTGCAACATCTAACTAATAAACTAACCAATTCACAAGTCCAGTTGATATAAGTCAAACCAAAATCAAGACCATAATATTTAAATATGAATGCTAATCTTGCAAATTGCTTCGTTGACCGTGTCGTTAGTGCAGCTGCCAGCCAAGGGGTTTAGGGTTCTATTCCCGGGTCGGGCAAAGTAATAATGTTTTTTGTTTAATGTCAGAAGTACCACGGACTCTGAAATGGTGCCCGGTATATTGCAGTAGGCTCGCCCCCTATTGCACGGCACTCATAACATAAATAGTGTATGTTATATTGTACAGTAGCATTAAGTGCCGTAATGTGCACCTTTGTCTACTCCTTCGGGGATAAAAGGCATGATGTTATGATGCAAAACTAAATCAAAAATCAATCCTAGAAAACGTCACCAATTCACACGATATATGGACCAAAACACACATCTTTCTGCGCTCTCAATCGCCAATATTTTCCAGTTAGCGAGCGACATATGTAATCGCTTTTAGCTGTTCCAATTCAACTAGATGGCATGTCGAGGCGTTCGATTGCAGCGACTAAAATCGTTACCTATCAAATTCCTCTCATTGAACTGAGAGTACGTGGAAAATATCTTCAAAAAATCCGAACATACGCAGTCAGTAATGTACAATCTGCACTGTTATTTGGTACCTATCATCAACAGATAGTAAATAATGAAAAATGCCGTGGTGCCCGAAAGTTAAAGGCATGCAGTGTGCAAAATCTAGCAAATACTAATGATACTCTTTCGAATGATATGTACTTTTTAAGATTATTTACACACCAGTGACATGTAGTGAGAGAAAACATAAATAGGTAAGTATAAGAGTTATGCAAACTCTTTTTTATATACATATATTTGATGGGCCGACGTTTAACCACTATCTCGCCTTATGGTAAGCGATGATGCTGTCTACGATGGAGCACGTAGTCCCATAAGAAACCTTCACTCGGGCCTTAAAGACTCCCAGGTTATACCCTTCAAGAAATACAGACTCTGGCATAAAATTCCACTCCTTAGCAGTACGCACAAGGAAGCTTAATGCGAAGCGCTTCGTGCGTGTGGGTGGGACATCTACTTACTTTTCCATGTGAGAAGAAGCCTTTGCATAGCAGTGGACACTTAGAGGCTTTTGATAGTATTGACCATGCAGGTAAGAAAATAAAGAAGGACTCAATACAGAGACAGTACTATTATTAAGTTATTGATATATTGTAATAATATAAAAATGAAACCCGTTTCCCGTTATCACGCCATAACTTGAGAATGGCTCGACCAATTTGCATTATATGTATAGAAATAAAAATCCTGAATATCCTACGGGAAGGAGAGAAAACGGGATTGTCCGTACGAAGTCGCGGGCAGAAGCTAGGGAATTATATTATCTTTTGTAACCAATAGTGTTTAACTAAAAAAGTTTTTATAGAAACAAAAATCTACTTGTTTTTTTTATGGCATAAGCCGGTAAACGGCCAGACAGATCACCTGATGGTAGGTAATCGGCGTTGCTCATGGACACCTGGAACACCAAAGGCGTTACAAGTACATTACCGGCTTTTTGGGGATTAGGAGTTTGAGGATCGTTGGGGATTTAGGGATTGGGGAGATTGGGGAAGGGGAGAGTAATTGGGCCTCCGGTAACCTCACTTACACGACGAAACACAACGCAAGCGTTGCTTCACGTCGGTTTTCTGTGAGGCCGTGGTATCACTCCGGTCTTAACGCTACTACTCTTAATAATTTTCTTAACGAACTATATCTTTCCCATTGTAAGGTGTCGTGTTTTAAAGCTATATAGGACTTAATATTCTCTTCCATGTTAATATCTATATTCAATAGTCTATTGTACTCTATATTTTCATTATATAAAAATTGTGGTCCGTGAAACCATATAGTATTTTCAGGTAATAGTGACGGTAAAACTCCTCTTGACGCACAATCTGCGGGATTCTCCTTCGTAGAAACATGTGCCCATTGATCTGCGTCTAATGTGGTTAAGATCTCCGCGACCCTATTACTAACAAAGGTTTTCCATCGGCTTGGGTGGCTATTAAGCCATGCCAAAACGACTGTAGAGTCAGTCCAGGCGTGCACCTTGTCCTTGTCAATATTCATAGCCCTCGCCACATCGATCAACAACCGTGCCAAAAGTACTGCTGCGCATAGCTCTAGACGAGGGATACTAACTGTTCTTATAGGGGCGACCTTTGTTTTCGCCATTAGAAGAGTGACTTGTATATTTCCTGAAGAGTCCACACAACGAGTATACACAACTGCTGCGTAAGCAGCCTTTGATGCATCGCTGAATCCATGCAACTCTATGACTGAGCTATTTGATGTTCCTAACCATCTCGGAACATAGACTTTGGATAGATTTTCCAAGTCTTTACGGTAAGTTATCCATTCTTCTTTTAATTTTTCTGGTACATGATCATCCCATCCTACTCCTGCTAGCCACAATTTCTGTATCAATATTTTAGCTAGTATTATACTGGGCGCTATCCAGCCTAAAGGGTCAAATAAGCGTGCGATATCCGATATAATAATGCGTTTACTTAATGTTTCAGATGCTGAAGGGAGCTGCACCGTGTACTTGAACTGATCTGCACTACGACACCAGGTAAGTCCTAATATTTTTGTACTATCACTTAATATTTCCTTTTCGTCCTTACTTTCATATGACTCGATTTCCCCTAATAATTCCGAACTGTTGCTGTTCCATTTTTGTAGTTCAAATCCTGCTTTTGCTAATAATGCTTTCATTTCCAAATACAATTTTTTACCTTCTTCTATTGTGGAACATCCTGTCATTAAATCATCCATATAAAAGCTTGTTGGCACTATTTCAGATGCCGTGGGGAATTCTTGCACATAGTCCAACGCGACCTGGTGCAATGTCTTAACCGCCAAATAAGGTGCTGAAGCTGTACCAAAGGTTACAGTTAATAGCTCATACTCTTGCATTTCTTCATGTGGCTCTTTTCGCCAAACTATTCTCTGATATTTTACATCGTTTTCTGCTACTCTCACTTGTCGGTACATTTTTATTATGTCTGCAGTAATTGCTATTTGGTGAACTCTCCAGCGAATGACGATATGCCGCAAATCCGACTGCAAGGTAGGTCCCACCATCAACATGTCGTTAAGTGACACTCCCCTTTCATTCTTGCAGGATGCGTCGAACACTACGCGTACCTTCGATGTGGATTTATCTTCTCTGACAACTGCGTGATGAGGTAAGTAAGCTGCTTCATTGAACTTTGTGTCTGGTTTCTGTACTTTTCTCATGTGATTCAAATGTAAATATTCTTCTATAACTTTCGTGTATTTTTCTTTCAGGTTTGAATCCTTCGTGAATTTTCTCTCCAACGCCTTGAGTCTTCTTACAGCTATTTCTTTACTGTTACCACCTCCGCAGGTGGGCGTTGCTTCCTTAAATGGTAACTTGACTACGTATCGACCATCTGCGCATCTTGTAGTCGTAGCTTTATATAACTCTTCACATTTTAACTCTTGTTCTGTTAACGTAATAATTTGTGGCAACTGATCTTCGATCTCCCAGAACTTCTTCAGTATATCATTTTGGTCTATTGCTGTATGCATGACTGTGATATTTGCGATGTTACTCGACCTAGTTTCTGTTTCACCAGAAATTATCCAACCTAGCGTGGTACACTGCGCTACTACTGATCCATTAGGCGCTCTCCTTAGACCATCTTTTAGTATCTTACCATACACGTCTGCACCCAATAAAATATCTATCCTATTAGGTGAAGAAAACTGTGGGTCTGCCAACGTAAGTTGCTTTAATTCCGACCAATCAAGAGGGGCTACTTGTCGTTCCGGTATATATGATGTAATATTTTTTAAAACATACGTGTTTACCATTGTTGTAAAACTAGGATCAGCTAACGATTTTAATACCAATGTTACAACTGAATTCGCGGGTGACTTGATACTACCTAAACCAGAAACAATGCTTCTAACTGGAGTTCTCTTTAATCGTAAAAATTGTGCTGTACTTTCTGTGATAAATGAAGCCTGGGACCCCTGGTCTAACAAGGCACGAACTGTCTGAAACTCTGCTGTGGCAGTTTGAACTTGAACTAACGCAGTAGCTAACAATACCTGTTTAGGACTGACGATGTGTTTAGTCGATAGACATGACACAACTGGACTGGTATCAGTGGATGTATTATCAGAGGAGCTAGCAGCTGTTTGCTTCTCTTCCTTAGCGTTGTGCTCATAATTAGCGTGTAACAGAGTGTGGTGTTTCTTGCCGCAAATGTGACACACCGCTGATTTCTTACATTGATAAACTAAATGGTTTCCGCCTAAACAGTTAAAACAAATTTTATTTGACTGTGCAAAAGATCTTCGTTCATCTACATTAATTTTTGTAAACGGTACACAAAAGCATAACTTATGGTTGTTGCCGCAGAATTCACAACTAATCTTAAATTGGCCAGATGGTCCAGGATTAACGTTCCGAGCGAGCAAAGTTTTCTGACCTGATAATCTTTCTGTACGTGGACCAGCTCGCCACTGTCCCGATGGTCGCTGTGGTTCAATGAACTCAAGTGCTCTAAACCGACTCTCCAGATATATTTTAAATTGTTCTAAAGTCGGAAGTTCATGTGTTGATTCGTCGGAAGCCCTCAACTCCCACTGCTTACGGGTCTCTGGGTCCAACTTTTCAGAGACTACATGAATTACAATAATTTCCACAATGGTGGTCATGCTAATCCCTAGGTTAGAGAATGCACTCATACAGTCTGTAGTTGTATCCAGTATTTGTTTAATATTAGCCGCAGATTCAGTATTTACTCGTTTTTGGTTGAATAGCCGTTGCAGAATGGAATTCGCCAAGTGTCGCTTATTGTTATACCGATGCTCCAATTGCTTTCAACATACCGAGTAATTCGCAGCAGTAATTGGTATTTGACGAAGCAACTGCTCTGCTTCACCGGTCAAACATCCCTTCAAATAATGTAACCTCTGTACGTCATCTAAACCTTTATTGGAATGAACTAGCGATATAAAAAGATCACTAAAACTAGTCCATTCATCGTATTTGCCCGAAAATGAAGGAACATTAATTTTTTGTAACCTAACGTTTGAAGCAGAATAGGTTCGTGTACAAGGTTCGCTTATGTTAAACTGTAAATTGCTGTCTTTTAACTCCGACTTGTACGTTAAATAAATTTCCTCGGTCTTATCATACAATTCGGATGTAAAGTAATTGTTTTTCAATTCTGTTACGGTGGCTCTTTCAATTATTTTCCGATGTGTATCATAAAATCTAGACCATTGCTGCTCTAGATTTTCCAATCTAGTTTCGACATATCCACGAGTTACTCGTTCTTTGGGAGATTTTTTGAAATTATTTCTCCCCTTCTCAATACTACTTTTTACATCATCTTGTAATTTAAATAAAGATTCCATGGCAATGACTTAGAAAACAATTCAATAAAGCCAACAACGTATTCGAACAATCTGTTCTTACAACTAACAAAGTGAACTTACAAAATATGTCGCATTGCATACAAACATAACAAGTGTTTACAAAATGTATCCTTACTTGAAATTTATAAGAGAAAAAAAAAGCAATTATTACAGACAATCAAATAAAAATGTTCAATTAATAAAACGTAAATTAGCCAGTTACTTAACTAAACTTATTCCAAGTGATTATAAAATCTTCAGTATGATGACCTTCTTGAACTATGTTTATAAATTATGTTTAATTGTACTCACAGTTATCCGTTGAACTCACAACACTTCACTGAACTTTGACCTCGTTCTGATGCTCCTCCACTTGACTCGAACTCTCCCGGCTCCACCACTCGAACTCTCCCTGCACGTCCACTCGAACTCTCCCGGCTCCACCTCTCGAACCCGTCTCGTCACTCGAACTTCGCCGCAACCTCCGCTCCGGTGTGCTCGTACTGGGTGTTGAACCCGGTGCCACAACTCACCAGCACCTTGGCGCCCTCAGCAGCGATCCACTACTGTGTCGGCACCCTCTCAGCAACCACTCACTGTGACTACGTCACCTCCGGCTCACAAGGACCAATGTATAATTTGGTCACGGCGCACTAAACTTCACGACTACTGCCAATCTGGCTGAACAGGGATATCTTCAAGGATATTACACAAACCACTGTTTTATATAATATCAACTGTATATTGTTGTTATCACTAATAATCTTTAATGAACTATTGAACTAACTAAACATAAAACATTCACCGAGGGTCATTAAACGGCGGAGAATCTTGACACCGCGATTCAGAAAATGGACTTAAACTAACAACGCCATCTAGTTTCAAAATTGGAACTAAACTCTAGAACTAATTTAAATTACGGTTGACGATTGAACAGAGAGAGAGAGAATAGTTCTCTAATTAGAGGAAGCGTCTTGTAGGTAAATTTCCATATTTTTTTGCGCTATCTAAAAATTAAACTCAAGACAATAAATGACATAACTAATGCCTGGAATACAATGTGATCAATCATTCAGCATAATCACGAGATCATTTCTTGGTTAAGTGCAAATTACTTTAACACACCAGTACTGCAACATCTAACTAATAAACTAACCAATTCACAAGTCCAGTTGATATAAGTCAAACCAAAATCAAGACCATAATATTTAAATATGAATGCTAATCTTGCAAATTGCTTCGTTGACCGTGTCGTTAGTGCAGCTGCCAGCCAAGGGGTTTAGGGTTCTATTCCCGGGTCGGGCAAAGTAATAATGTTTTTTGTTTAATGTCAGAAGTACCACGGACTCTGAAATGGTGCCCGGTATATTGCAGTAGGCTCGCCCCCTATTGCACGGCACTCATAACATAAATAGTGTATGTTATATTGTACAGTAGCATTAAGTGCCGTAATGTGCACCTTTGTCTACTCCTTCGGGGATAAAAGGCATGATGTTATGATGCAAAACTAAATCAAAAATCAATCCTAGAAAACGTCACCAATTCACACGATATATGGACCAAAACACACATCTTTCTGCGCTCTCAATCGCCAATATTTTCCAGTTAGCGAGCGACATATGTAATCGCTTTTAGCTGTTCCAATTCAACTAGATGGCATGTCGAGGCGTTCGATTGCAGCGACTAAAATCGTTACCTATCAAATTCCTCTCATTGAACTGAGAGTACGTGGAAAATATCTTCAAAAAATCCGAACATACGCAGTCAGTAATGTACAATCTGCACTGTTATTTGGTACCTATCATCAACAGATAGTAAATAATGAAAAATGCCGTGGTGCCCGAAAGTTAAAGGCATGCAGTGTGCAAAATCTAGCAAATACTAATGATACTCTTTCGAATGATATGTACTTTTTAAGATTATTTACACACCAGTGACATGTAGTGAGAGAAAACATAAATAGGTAAGTATAAGAGTTATGCAAACTCTTTTTTATATACATATATTTGATGGGCCGACGTTTAACCACTATCTCGCCTTATGGTAAGCGATGATGCTGTCTACGATGGAGCACGTAGTCCCATAAGAAACCTTCACTCGGGCCTTAAAGACTCCCAGGTTATACCCTTCAAGAAATACAGACTCTGGCATAAAATTCCACTCCTTAGCAGTACGCACAAGGAAGCTTAATGCGAAGCGCTTCGTGCGTGTGGGTGGGACATCTACTTACTTTTCCATGTGAGAAGAAGCCTTTGCATAGCAGTGGACACTTAGAGGCTTTTGATAGTATTGACCATGCAGGTAAGAAAATAAAGAAGGACTCAATACAGAGACAGTACTATTATTAAGTTATTGATATATTGTAATAATATAAAAATGAAACCCGTTTCCCGTTATCACGCCATAACTTGAGAATGGCTCGACCAATTTGCATTATATGTATAGAAATAAAAATCCTGAATATCCTACGGGAAGGAGAGAAAACGGGATTGTCCGTACGAAGTCGCGGGCAGAAGCTAGGGAATTATATTATCTTTTGTAACCAATAGTGTTTAACTAAAAAAGTTTTTATAGAAACAAAAATCTACTTGTTTTTTTTATGGCATAAGCCGGTAAACGGCCAGACAGATCACCTGATGGTAGGTAATCGGCGTTGCTCATGGACACCTGGAACACCAAAGGCGTTACAAGTACATTACCGGCTTTTTGGGGATTAGGAGTTTGAGGATCGTTGGGGATTTAGGGATTGGGGAGATTGGGGAAGGGGAGAGTAATTGGGCCTCCGGTAACCTCACTTACACGACGAAACACAACGCAAGCGTTGCTTCACGTCGGTTTTCTGTGAGGCCGTGGTATCACTCCGGTCCTGCCGGCCCATTCGTGCCGAAGCATGGCTCTCCCACGCTTGAGTTTTCTCTCAAATATCTATAGAACCAAATTTCTATAGAAGCTAATAAATGTGCAGACTGTACGCAGGTACTGGA